ATATTAGTAAAATAAACAATAGTATTCTAATCTATCGTATTCTAATCTATCGTATTCTAATCTATCGTATTCTAATCTATCGTATTCTAATCTATCGTATTCTAATCTATCGTATTCTAATCTTCTGTAGTTTAAATACTAGTATATGTACCCAAATCTGTAATGCTCCTTGTAACCCTTTTGCGCAGCAACACTCACATTGGGAGAGGTAAGGTCTGCACTCTGAGCTAGTCATTTCTCTACGGCCTTTCAGAGTACTGTTTGTGTAACAATTTGAGCGTGCTTACAAGAGAGAAGAGCACAGATGACCTTGTCACTGTTTTAAAGCTACTTTAATGCTCAGTGAGAAGGTTGGGGTGTAAAGTTGTATAAGCTGAAATCCTGAAAATAGAAAACGCATGTAATACTAAAAAGAGCCATAACGGATAGCCAGCCCTTTGCATCAAATTAAAAGAAACAATCGGGGATATATGTAGGCTGGTCACTGGTTGGGAACCAGTATTTATCACATGTAGTCAAGACTTATTGTTGGGTCGGAGTTACTAGATCAGCATGACACCCAGGCACTTGACATTATTAGAAAAAGATCATCAGTGGCAGCCTGCATGTTTTTTCTCAAACTGGTTTCCTGTAAGTCCTTTTGGTTTCTGTGGATAGGTAAACCTTTCAATATATATTTTTTTTTTGTAGCACTGTGTCTTGGTGCCGCTGCCAATAATTTGCTGTCACTCTCCCTTAGATCCCTTAAAGAGAAAATTAACTCTGGTAGCTGTGCCCAAAGGAAAGCAGAGATCAAAGGACTAATCACCAGTGTTGCCTGTGGTCTCCCTGCTGCTGCTATTTTCCCCAGTACCGACTTAGCATGCTTTGTTCCATACTGTGTCTCTCTGTGGAGACGACCATCTTGGTAGAGACAGAGCCTCCAGCAAGGATAACATTAAGCAGCACAATGGTGACATTACTAAATGTCCTGAGACTTTCAGACTATACAGATATACAACTATGAGGCTGTAGGCACAGGAGTGCCTAGGCACCCCCACATACCAGGAGTGCACTGCTAATTTGAAGGAGGAATTTCAGACGTACTGATGGGGCACAATTAACATTTCTAAATATTCCCTATAACCAAGCTCCTTTTCACTTTTTGAGATTAGATCCACCTTGAGGTAAAAAGCAAGTAATGAGTCGAGTTGGTATTAAATAATGGTACTCTAAGGCTGCAGCAATTGTGTTTTGTGTTTGTTGGATTGCAGCAAGGCCTGCCTCAGTAGTAAGGGCCCAATAACTAGAATGTGCTCAAATTTAATGTAAGGAAATGGGTGCTAAGAGCTCTATTATGATTCCTTCCTCTAAACTTTGAAACATTTGAAATTCTAGGTTCAATCCAGGAAGCTACACAGCTAAGGTTGCAGCTTCAACAACTACAGTCATCGAAAACCATTAGTGATGGCATGAATAAGGCAATGCAGGTTTGTGTTTTGACCAGAGTTGGGATTTAAGAGTTGCTTATAGATTTTCTTTTGTTTCTGGTGGAATGAATATTACATGTCCTATGTTCTGTTTGCATTCTAGGAAGAAATAAATGAACTTAAAGAGCAAATTACAATGTATGAATCTGCTGCCAAACTGGGGGTTTTTCTTGGTGGTGAAGAGCAAGGAGAGCTATCTGACTCCTACGTGGGTCTGGGCATCAAGAAAGTTAACTGGCAAAAGTCTTGCTTCCAAAGGTACATTGCTTATGGCACATAGTGGGATGCTAAAGAAAAGGCGTATTGTACCCTCTGGCTGGTGGAGGGCAAAAAGAAAGCTGTACACCTTCTTCCTTGCTTTCTGGCATTAGTCTCAATTTTCGGTGCATTGGTTTTCAACATATATTTAGGATGGACTTGTGTTTATAATATACCCATGTAAACTAAGGTTGCTGTTGGATAGCACACACGACAAGCTGCTAGATCCCAGACCTTCAGGCCTCATTTACATATGCGTGTGTGGTATGGTGCTATTCAAAATAAATACCACAGCAACTCAGAAGCGTGGAATTTTGAGGCCAGCCTTACAAGTACAGTATATACGAGTGCTGAAACATCCAAACTTTGTGGCCTGGGTATGCTGTAGAATGGCAAAAGGGCGCTCAGTTGGTGCCTGACCGCCCTTTTGCCATTCCTGACTGTTGACATCTTGGGGTCTATCCCTTTGCAGATATGGAATCTTTGAATTTGTTGATGATGCTGTGAAAACCTAAACTGTAGCAGTAAAAGTATGATCTGGCACGTTTATGGCGGCTTGCTGTCTGTGAGCAGCCTTCACATGGGTTTTACTGCAGTATAGCTTATTTTGGGTTGTATATAAATCCAAGACAAACATGTAATGTATTGCAGCTTATCTTTCAATAAACGGTTTATTTTTTCCAGGCTTTTGTTTTAACTTTCGCCTAGTGATCCCACTACTAGCACACTTCCTATGAACATCTCACCACACCGTATTGGTTCAGGAACAGGGGTGTGGAAATTTACAAAAAAAAACCCAAAAACTACTTGTCGAAGGACTTGGGGCCAATCTACTATTCTCTCATGACCATCTACTTGCCCTGATACAAAATGTTTTTTTAACCAAAACCATATTTAGCACTTCTCATTGGTCAGCGAGGTCAGGTGACTGCATTGACCAGTGAATGTTCGCAATTTGCAATCAAAATCCATAGCACAGGGCTGCGCTAGACAGCAGTATGTGGTAAGGACCTGTACTTTGTAAAACTTTTGTTTATTTTTAACTTACCCCCTGTGTGATCGCAATAGAGTTATCAGGCCTCTATGTGATTTGCGTTTGGAGGTGACAGGTTCTCTTTTATGGAGACTGCCCTCCAGTACAGAAGATCGAGCACAGCATTGTACTCAATCCACTGTACAGCCTGGCTTGTGACAGCTGAGGCAAGAAGAACGGAGCGCTCCTGTCTCCCTAGTCACACAGAGCAGATCGGAGAACAAACGTTCTCCGGTCTGCTCCCCACTCTCCATCCTGAACTCATTCGCCATGGTCCTGGGTACCCCAGAATGGTGGGGGGACCCTGAAAACCACGGTGGGGGAGGGGGGAACAAGCAGGCTCATACAAGTGATCTGCACGACTGTACAGCTGCCCAGATCACTTGTACAAAACGAGAGGCAGCTCCCCTGCTGTAGAAGTAGAAAATAAACACCTGTCTGGTGCACAGAACTTCATGTCCCGGGCGTCCGGCTATAGAAATTGCGCACCCCGTCAGGAAGTTTTTAAGGACCATACAACACCTTCTCCTCTCCTCTTTTCCATACCACAGGGTGATGAGTTCTGTATTTCAGATAGCTGGGAGCAATGCTAGTTAATAATTTCTTGTGCTCTGTGCTTGCAGGATCACCAAGAAAAAACATAAAAAGATGATGATGGGAA